TCTGAATCATTGTTGTTTTCTGTGTTCTAAACTATCTCACTAACTTATCTAAAGGAAGTACATTGCTTAAACAACAGCAAAGAAAAAGTGCTAATGTCTAAGTGCAAAACCTGCATAACGCATTACTTTTGGTTGAAAAACTGAAAACACTGAATGCCCGAGCTCACACAGACGCTTCAAACACGGAAAATAATACACTGTGCCAGTCTACTTACTACAGCTACCAAGCAAAGAGCTGGAGTTTTTGTATTATTCAAGACTGAAAAAAACAACAAAAACCTGTTCTTTTTCTTCAAAGCATACCGTATACAGTACAGCCTCCAAGCAGGAGTTATCATTTTTAAACATTCTAATGTAGCAATTTGTTTTATAACTTATGAAGATTACATTTAACAAAAACTTGGTCATCAGAGATAATCTGTGATGAACAAGTCAGTTTAACAACTTAATGGGGAAGTTATAAAAAAAAGCACGAAAACGCCAGCTCTTAACCTGTTCAGAAAAGAAATCATTGGTAACAAATACTGAATTTATTCAACATCTAGTTGGGCACTACTCATGTTGTAAATATCCTGTGATGCCACTACTTACTCTTGCTATCAGTTTGGCTTTGGCTGTCTAGAAAGAACATACAGGTGACAGTCAACAACATGCATATGTCATGGCACAAAAGTGACAACAACAATGCTGACAATACAACTAGAGTAACAAACTCTACTGCAAAGCATACATCACATAGAAAGTTGGCAAACAACCAGACTTGAGCAATATTACAGTTAAGCTGAATCTGGCAAAAGACTTTATGCTCATCTCGCATTCTCTTACAGTACTAGCTCAGAATTTCAAAGCTTTAAGCGGGGAGACTCATTTGTTCCTGAGCAGAAGAAAAATAGCTTACTGACTTGTTTGCTCTTTTTTTCATTCATAACAGAAGTCCTTTGAGGGGGAGCAAACAAATTTTCAGTGCTCAAACACCTGGACTCCCCCCCCGAAGTGTTTTGTAGTCTTTACCTATCTAAATACTCCAAAGAAATGAGTAAATAGCTAAAGACAAGTCTACTGAACGTTAAACAAACTGATCACCCAAAGCTTCCTGTTTATTCAGCTGTGCTATCTACTCATGATCATTATCTGCTCATGATCATACATGATTTCTTTATTCACTCTCATTGACAGGAAAGACGAATATTTTCTACCATACAATCTGCTTTCCCTTAAAATGTACAAAAATAAGAATTTTTAAACAACGTATTGATATGAGTTCTTTCACTAAAGTACCACCACTATATGAGCAAAAATTATCTCCGATCATCAGGTAAAGTTATATATGCTGATTTTCTTTCATAGAACAAAACTAGCTCCTTCTACAAACGACTCATTATTTTTGTTAACAACAAAAGAGGCTTTGTACAATAGTGAGAAGAGTACATCTTCACACAAAGCTTGAAATTAATAGAGGCATATTCATCAGATCATGCATCAATCACAAAAGCTAAACAATTACATAGCTGCCAACTTTTCAAACCCCCCCCCCCCCAACAAAAAATCCCAACCCCAGACCCTACCTACAAGGCAGGTCAAGAAGACAGTCCTTGGCGCCAAGTAATCCCCCTCCAAACCCTTAACACACACTTTTCTGCATTCAATAAATTCAAGATATACAAAATAGACCTACAGCAAAATATCCCTCCAATTGATCTATGGACTTCATTCTCATCATTTTACTTGCAGATCCAGTCTTGAAAATTCATAATTTTTTCTTCCACATCAGCAAGTCCTTGATGAGCAATACTAGAAAACAGAGGATACATATGTTTCCAGTCTGAAAATAGACTTAAACCCTCCAAACGTACTAAACGCGGGAGGATTTTTTTTAACGTACTGGTTGGCAGCTATGCAAATATAAAAGGACATAATTGCCTAAACAATGTGAAGCAAGGATATAAAAGTGACACACATAGCTCAGTACAGCTCAGTGTGAGAAAACACTAGGACACAACGAGTCACAATACAAACAATCTGAGCCCTGAAGTTGAAACTTCAGAGCCAAGTGCAAAGAAAGAGTGACTAAAACAATCACAATTAATTATTTCTCACTACAGATCATTCTTCTGCAGAAACACTTAAGAGATACTAAATCATGATGATGTTCGAGGTAAGCCTAAAAGATGAGTGTCCAAGATGAGTGTCAGAGCAAAGCAAGTAGATAAGGGAGAAAAAAAAAAAAGTTAGCTACACAAACTAACACACTGGGCCAAGACAGCAACAACTTTGTAATACAAGTGTGTCTGAACTAGTCATAGCAGATGAGGGAAGGAAAAGTTTTTTAAAAATGTGAATGCTTACCTCCTTGCATGCGAGAGATCTGTGTGTTGGAAATCTTGTTGGTTTGAACCACCGGTGGCACAGGCTTGTGAGTCTGACCTGTGGCACGGTAAACAGCCTGCACCCACAGTGTGCGCTCAGACTCATCCTCAGTCGCAAAGTTCAGACTGTCGCCTTCTTTCACGAGGTTGAAGAAATTCTTGCCTCCATCCAAATCTAGAACCAACAAAGATTAACTTCACTACATCCAGAAATGATATAGCTCTCGTTATTTTTCAAATGCCTTCATCTTAACAATATGATTAACTATAATCTTTACTTGATATGGTCCAAAAAGACAATGATTTTACTCACAAATGCAGCCATCAGTGAAAAACTCACAATGCAAGACAAAAGTTAAAGTCAAGAACATCGCTATCCATGCTGGGAAAATATTCGTCAGCTTCAAACATTCATAACAAAAAATGAATGCTGCTCATCCAAGAACAGAACCCATATAAACTCATTAACCTCTATCCATATCACTCGCTAAACACTGCGCCATCAGTTTATACATTACATATAAGTGATAAAACAACTGAGTATAGAAAAGAGCTGAACTGTCCTCAAAACACAGAAAGCTGGACAAATATTCTTTTTAAGAGAACAACTCGGTAAAGGACAGGCACAAACTATTGCCTGGTTGTCACAGCATTCCTGAAGCACATATCTGAGTACAATCAGTGAGCAAATACAATGTTGACAATACCTTGCAGTGGTTCACAGTAGTCCACAGTAAAGCCCTCCAGCTGCATCATCTCAGTGGGATCTGGTTTCTTCTCTCTATAGGAGCACATTGCAAATGTGTACTGAGACACCTGAAAGAGTTTTTCACAATATTTTTCAGCCTTCAAGCCAGGATCTAGAAAGATGGCAGAAAATTTTCTCTGAAATATTCAGCAAAACAGTTCTTGAATTTTCAAACAGAGGCTATGAGAACCTAGTGAAAAGAAGGCAAAGTAGAATCTACCTATTGACCGTAGTGTCAAAAAAAGCAAACTTAAAAAACAACTTACAACCCCTCCCCCCCCCAATCATATGAAGATATAAAAACTAACAGCAAGGAAAGAGAATCCCCCAAAAAGTCTCGTTCCAAAAAGAAATCTGTTGGCTGGATTAAACATCATGACATCCGTAAAGGCCAATGGCCTTTGCAAAATCAAGGATTCTGTTGGGATCAACCTTGCAATTTATACCTTGCAATTTTTTGCATCTAAAATATTTCCTTCAGGTCTCTCCGAAGTCTAGACATTCTGTTAAAATGTGTCTAATGGTAAAATCTGTGTTGCATCCGACACAGAACAGCTTCTCATCTCCCTGAAGGAGGTATTTATGCGTCAGGGACGTGTGTCTGATGCGTAATCAAGTAAAAATGACTTCGTCTCTTCAGGAGAGACCCGGAAGTTTTTGCGGACCCAGTTTGGACTTTATGTTTTGTAGTATATTATTTATTTGTTTCTTCCAACGAGTCTCCCACAGACTGGGGAGAGACTGAATCAGCTGAAAGCAAAACTGTGCAATTTTTCTGAACAGTTCTTTTGATTTCACACAAATTTTATGCTCCCAAAAAGAGAAACAGACATTCAACTTGATAACTTCAGGTGCACCCAAAATAATGAAAAGGAATAAATAATATGGTTTCCACCCAAAAGTTTGAGTTATGGTTGTCACTGACAACTGATGTGCCGAAACTTTCAACATTCAACATTTTTCAAAATTATTCTCAATCATGGCTTTTTAAGTGAGGATGTCAGCCTTGTACTGCTGGAAAAAAAAAAATCCGGTCTAAAGACAACAAGTGACAACTTGTTGAAATCTGTCAAACTAAACAGTCCTTACCTGTACCAAGACAAAGTATCTTTTCTTCCACTTTTTCCATACAGTTTTCCCCAATGCATAAAGGTATCTGAAAAAGTAAGAGCACACAAAGGGCAAGGATAAAATAAATCGCTTAATGGGGGGTAATTTTCTCCATGGTTTTTTTCTGTGCACATTTTTCCCCCCTTATGGTGCCTTAAAGACTACATTTGAACTTTCATGAGTGTATCTATTAGTTTAGTTATAGTACCAGTTTACAAAACTTGCAACACTAACAGATCATATAAAGCCAAAGACTAGAGGTGTAAGAAGAGAGTAAGATTTGAAGAAAAAAAGGTGCAGAGATAAGGACAACATATGTTTAATAGGAAAGAAGGAGAAAAATCACATCAGGGCACCCACCAGTGTTTCTACGAAGACACAAAAGTCAGCATATAACACATACAAGCATATATACAAGAGAGCATCATCAGTATTGCGGAAGATGATCACTTAGTAACAGTTCCAGAAAAAGGAAAAACATTTCACAGTAAGGAAAGGTCAGCATAAAGCAGGGGAATTAAATAGCTCTTTATCTCCAAGGGGGGTAAACCCACTACACCAGGGGCCCTCTTTTGGTAAAAGTAAAGTTACTGAGGATCAGATGGACAGACAGGGTCACCCATGTGGAAGTGTTAAGGAAAACAATACAGATCCCAGTCAGAGATGAGGTAGGAAGAAGGCGGTGGCGATGGATTGGACATACTCTCAGGAAGTCAGGCAGCTGCATAACAAAGAAAGTTTTGGATTGGAACCCACAGGGCAAGAGATCAAGGGGCAGACCTCGTGGAACTTGGAGAAGAATCACAGAAATCGATGTACAGAAAAGTGGGAAGGCATGGAATAACATCAAGAGGCTAGCCCAGGATAGAGAAAAGTGGAGGGTGTTTGTCCGTGGCCTATACCCTGATGCAGGGTGAGAAAGGCAATGATGATGATGATGAAAGTTGTTCCCGCATCCGATCCGGACATTGGGGATTGATTGTCTTGTTAGTGAGACAACTTCCAGGGCCTTAGGCATAATGTTGTGGTAGGGTGGCCTTTTTTGGTACTAAATCTAAAAATGACAAAAATGTCATAAAATAGGTAATTAAATCAACCCGGTAAAAGAGACTTATTTTCAGCAATTGCCGAAAAGTAATTTGATGTCGAAGTCGCCGTAAAGGAATGTGCCCCGAGCCTCTGCCAGCGGCTCACAAGCACAGCGGTTCCGACTGCAAGCTTCTGGGAGCCACTTGCCAAAGGAGGTAAGTGACCAGGGCAGCACTTTCGAAAACATAGTCATACAATGACTTCTCGTATGACATCGATATTCTAAATATATGACGGACAAAACTCACCCGCAGTGTTTCATATTCTGAGGCTTATCCATTCTGACTGCGATCTTGATGCGCAGATCGTCTGGGAAGTTCTTTGCTTTGTGCATATGGTGCCATTCAGGAGTTCTTGAACTGTTTGCTGTGGGTCTTATCACCACCTGCACAATAGAGAAATTCCATTCATGCATCAAAGATGATCTATTTGTTCCTCAAAGAAACTGCATCTTTAAAACAAGCAATGACGTACCCTTGAAAGAAGGAGAAGTGGATAAGGCACATCAAACCAATGAGCCAACCAATCCTCTATGGTAAGGAAGGGGGTGGAGAGAGAAAGAGAGAGAGAGAGAGAGAGGGAGAGGGAGAGGGAGAGGGTGAGGGAGAGGGAGGGAGAGAGAGGGAGAGAGAGAGAGAGAGAGAGAGAGAGAGAGAGAGAGAGAGAGAGAGAGAGAGAGAGAGAGAGAGAGAGAGAGAGAGAGAGAGAGAGAGAGAGAGAGAGAGAGAGAGAGAGAGAGAGAGAGTCTAATCGCCAATCAATATAAATCATTGGCACTGATATCAGCCTCATGATCTATTCGTTATCCTATAGACAACGTCATGCTCCGTGCTATGGGTCCAACCAGAGATGTTGCCAACATATGACTTTACAGGTCCGCTTCTCCTTTTTCTCTCTGGTGTTTTGGCCTGTCTGGCTGTCTTCCCGATGAGACAACTGGAATGTCTGATGGCACAGAGAACATGAATTTCTAAAAAATTAAATAAAACTTTTTTTCGCTAGTACATATCTTAATTTTCCGATATGTTTAACTATCTACACAACTTTAAAAAATAAAAGTTCCTAGAGTAATCTAATAAATCAGAATGAATTACCTTTCCCAATTCCTTGTCTTCTAGACTGAGCATTCCAGAACTCTCAGTGTACAGCTTCACTTTCACGACAGGAAGAGGATGTGTTGTAGTGAAGTCTCCTTGTGTGTCCCAGCTGACAACAGATCCACAGACAGTGTATTTAGTTAGTTTTAGTGGAGGTTCTAAGGCACTCGCAACTGCATAAGGTCATATGAGCGCCAGAAGATTAGTGGTGTTACAAGAGAGTAACAAACATAAAAAAGAAGAAGGGGAGTTAAGGACAATAGATGTTTGATAGGAAAGAAGGAGCAAACGACACCAGAACATCCGCCAACCACCCACGGACAGTGTATGATCAAACAAGCATGGTCAAAATGAAAAGACACATGAATGCAGTTGAACGCAGTATCAACTAAGAAAAATTGTCATTCTTAGCCCAATTCATAAAAATAATATTCACGAAGTGCATTTTTATAGTGCCTACTAACGTGTACACACAGACTGAAACCCAGGTGCTTTATATCAATTTAAGTACATTACAATAACTGTGAAAAGCATGTACACTCACACTCATGCCTTTTTCACACGGGCATGCAAAGACAGACAGACAGACAGACCGACAGACAGACAGACAGACAGACAGATACACATACACACACTCACACTTTCTCTCTCATCACACATGCACGCATATACATCATTATGAACGAGCCATACTAAAACATGTTGTAATATACACAATAAGTAAGTTAACAAAAATACATTGAACTCATTAAAAAATTCATGAACACTTGGCGAACTGTCCCGTATCCCATTCCTTGAAAAACTGCAAAATCAATATGTGCCTAAGCATATCTCCAGAGGCATCTCTTCCCTGTTCTACACCTTTTTTTCACAAAGATTCACTGTAATGCAATGTAATCATTCTTAACCCTGGAAGCGCGCAGGCCCTATATATAGGGCTGACCTACTTCGACCGGCAAACGCGCAGTCCCAATATAAAGGGCATAGACACTGACCTTTTTCAATGGAAAATTTCAGTATTTCTTATATGGAAAATGACGTTGTAAATTACAGGTCAAAGTTATAAATAGTGACCAATGACTTTACAAGT